GCCTGAGTGGTGAAGGTTCATATAATGGCTTCTTCCGCCATAAAAAAAGAAAAAAAAGATATAAAAAGTGGTCATGGTGGGAGAGCAGAGGGGTGCCCAAGACTGCTAAAGTGGCGCCAAGGTGAGTCAAGGTGTGGGGGGGGGGATTAGGGGGCAGATGGGTCACGTGACTCTTACACGTGAATCAAAACTCACAAAATTGACTCATGCTAGGCTAGCATTCGCTTATACGCGTGTCAAATATATAGTAGTAGGCATCCATCAGTCTCAGGAGACTATGGAGTTGTGCTCTGGTTGTCGATTTGGAGTGGGCTCTCCAGGGTGCAAAGCCAGGGTAGGTTGATACGGGGGAGAAGCTGTTACCCAAGCAGCAGGTCCCGTCCCAGCTCTTCACGGCGCCGAAAGTCTCCAATGGAAAGGCAAACGCCAATACGATTGGTTCCAGCGCCGTCGCAGGACCTGTGAGCTCCGGGGTTGACCTCGAAGTTGGTGAGAGAAGGCACAGGGACTCCAAACCCGGAGACCGCCGTGGTCGGGGCCGGAGAAGAACCGCCCCATCAAGGATATGAACGACCCCAGCCTCCTGAAGCAGAGCTTGGGGGGCCGCACGAGCCCCAGGAGGTGGACGTCCCGGTCCCGCACCTACGGGTTCCTGATAGAGATCGTCACAGCCCTCTTTCATCCGAGGCCGACTTCCTTCAAGACCAAGTAGAAGGAAGAATGATATTTATTAAATACAACAATTATTATTATAATAATATAATTAATTAAAAATTATCACTCTTCCCTATATAAATGCCCTCATACTATGGCTCACTCACTTACCTTATACTGGCACACACTCATGTAATTCATCCTCATCAATTACCTCATACTAGTATACCTGGACATGTCATTTAACCTCACCAGCTAATATTACCTCCCGACCCAGAGTGGTCGGGTCACTGTATATCCCCATTATGTACCATATATCCCCATTCTTTTTCTATTTCTTTCTGAATTTCCATGTTTACCAGATCTATTGTCATCTATTATTTTAAAGCTTTTCTCGCGTGTAGTGAACAAAATAACAATAACAGCGTATCAGTACGATCATGAGAACGTACGAAAAGCATGAGAAATAAGGAGACGCCAGACAGAGCCTATTGGGCCACACGAGGCTGCTGCTCTATATATCCACTCTAACTCATAATATGCCTAACCTACGCTTGAAACAATCAAAGGATCCCACGTCTATTATGTTACCCGGTAAATTGTTCAATAAATTACTAACCATCATATTTCCAAACCAGTATTTACCCAGGTCTTTCCTAAATCTAAACCTAACCAGTTTATATCCATTGTTTCGTGTGTTATTCTGTACCTCTACATCTTTCCTTAATCATGGCGGTTTGATTTACAGTTATTAAACAGTTTACGAGCTTGGAAACTTCACAACCCAAGGTTATTATTGTTATAAACAACCTCGTAGTGCTTCGGAAGTCATAAACTGTTTAATAAATGTAAACAAAGTCGCCATGGTTGAGATGTACAGGTTTCGTAAGTGGTTTAGTACAGTCTCCGTGGTGTAGTGGTAAGACACTCGCCTGGCGTTCCGCGAGCGCTATGTCATGGGTTCGTATCCTGGCCGGGGAGGATTTACTGGGCGCATTCCTTAACTGTAGCCTCTGTTTAACGCAACAGTAAAATGTGTACTTGGATGAAAAAACGATTCTTCGCGGCAGGGGATCGTATTCCAGGGACCATAGGATTAAGGACTTGCCCGAAACGCTACGCGTACTAGTGGCTGTACAAGAATGTAACAACTCTTGTATATATCTCAAAAAAAAAAAAATGCATGATGAATCCCGGCCCAGGGCACAATACAGCAGCCGATGCACTGTGCTGGTAAAGCCAAATAAGAAAACTTATGCAAAACTTCGCGTGTTTTAAACTGTAACAACAGCAAATAAAAAAAAACGTTTGCTGGCTCATCGCGGGGAAGGTCGTAACGGTAACTGGACTGCCCAAGCCGCTAGTAAATATGTCTGTTGACATAAGCCAACAGAACAACGGGGAACTACACTCACCAAGAGGACACACACCACACACACACCGACACAAGCATGACAGCCTCAGAGTACGGCGCTGGACGCTTGGTACACTTGTAACCTCACTAAGCCACGTTCTGGCTTTCTTCCGTGACAAGTTACTTATAATTTAAGTTCCTACAAGGTGTGTACCCAGTGTGCCCGTGGAACACAGCCGTCTTCACAACTTGACGCTTAAGAAAGTATTTATGTAAAACTTGTGCAATAAGCTCAGTACAGAATCACATAGAGAATATGTACACCGAGATATATATACCTCACTTCTTGCTGTATATTTAGAGAGCCGTGGACTATGTCCAGGCCTCTGCTATACTTGTTAGTCAGCGAGTTATTGTGGAGGCCTTGACAACCCTGCAGGGTTGATAGGTTGAACACCAAACATATGGAGAATCTGTGTGCCGAGTGAGGCACAGTTATGCAACCTTGGAGAGGGAAAAGGGACCAATAGAGCTGACACTATACATCAGAGGGAGGCAGACACTTACGTGCGGTGGTGCCTAGTAATTCATCAAGACAGCCTTGCGTGGGGGCCGGCGGTCAGTGGTGGTGTTATGGTGGTGGTGTGGTGGTGTTGAGGTGGTGGTGGTGTGGAGATGGTGGTATTAGTGGCGACATGAGGTCTAGCTCTCCATGCCTTGGTGTACCTGTTGCATTACAACTTCCACATTCTAAAATTCCACATTCCAACTATTCTGACATTCAAATCCTTTGTCGAATCTCGCCTTAAAATTGTGGATGGAGGTGGCTTCCACAACTTCTTTTTTCAGTACATTAAACTTGTTGACCACCTGTGCAGGGTGCAAGTGATGACCAGACCACACACTTGAAGATGAAGAAACGACGACGTTTCGGTACCCTCCTGGACCATTATTAAGTTCTATATGATCACATACAACTTGATAATGGTCCAGGACGGACCGAAACGTCATCATCTCTCCATCTTCTGGTGTGTGGTCTGGTCAACATAACTTCAGCCACGTTATTGTGACTCGTCTGCAGAGGGTACAAGTATTGCCTCACCTTCGGCTCATTTGTGTTTCCAGCTTCTACTTGACGGTCTTGCTTCATGCAGGTCGGCGTTCAAACCCCGAACGGGTAAGTGGTTGGACACCATTCCTTTTCCCCGTCCGATCCCAAAGCCTTAACCTGACCCCTTCCCAGTGCTATATGGTCGCAATGGCTTGCCGCTTTCCCCTGATATTATTTGTAATTTGTACCAGTGTCCTCTTATCCTACTTTCTCTTAATTTGAAGAAGTCTCCTCTCTCCTTTTCCCATCCTCAGTATCTTACACTTGTTAGGATTGAATTTCAGCAACCATTTGTTTGGTCACTCCTGGAGTTTGTCAAGGTCTTCCTGTCACTTACTACAATCCACATCTGTTTTTTTTACATTCCTGGTCATCTTTGCATCATCCGCAAACTTTGATATGGCCTAACTCACTCCCTCGGATAAGTTAACACAAATTAGGAACAGCAGCGGTCCCAAGAATGTAACAAATGAGGTCCCGCAGGGACCTCATTTGTTACATTCCTTCAGCTTGAAACCTCGATCCTCTCTGACTGTGACTCTTTGTTTTGAGTCCTTCAGGTACTCCCTTATGCAGTTTAGAGTTCCCAGTATCCCAGCCTGGCATCCTAAAGGAACAGTGTCCACTGCTTTTTGACAGTTAAAGAAAACGCAGTCTACCCAGTCATCTTTTTTTCCTATGTTGTCACCTACAAGTGTTATTAGGTGACAATGTTGCCACCGTTGTTGTTGTTTTAGATTCAGCTACTCTGAACAAAAGTTTCAAGCAGCACGGGCTATGGTGAGCCCGTCGTACTCATCTGGCACAGATGTGCCCCTGGGTTGCCCAACCCGTCCTCAGACCAAGACCATTCCACCCAGCGGTCGAACCCAAAGATGTAATCATTAATTTAAAAATCTTCATCCAAAATAGGAATTTTCTCAAATATAAATTAATATTGTTAAATATTAGCATACTGTGCATGTTTAGGCATTGGTTAGGTTAGGTGTTTAGGTTCTGTTGTAGATTATTTGTATTTGTAGTACGTGGGTGAAGCATTTACAGCGTTGTGGTTCGAACAAAATTCGTCAGTGAACCACTTGTTCCGGAAATGTTCGCACGAAATCAGTTGTGAGTCGTGTGTAAACCGTTTTGCATTCATAAACAGGGGGTTTGGCGGGTGCATGGAATCACTTTTGGGTCTTTGGAGGACGGGCTGAACATTTATAGAATTGTGGTTCGAACAGAGAACGTGAGCCAAGCAATTGTTCCGGAAGTGTTCACACGTCATCAGTTGTGAGATGTGTGTAAACCGCTTTTCATTCATAAACAGGGGGTTTGGCGGCTGGATTAACGAGCTTGGATCTTTGTCTGCAAGGACGAGCTATTACACACGACTCGCAACGTTCGAATTTCTCGAACAGCGCTTTCCTGATGACCTCTGTTCAAATCACAAAGTTGTAAATGCTTGACCCACTTACTTCAAATACAAATAATCGCCAAAAGATCCTAAACAACCTAACCTTAGCTAATAATATAAATATGTAAATGGGAGTTGGCTTCAGGTTTAACGAGCCTAGCCTCAGAACGAGTTGTCGTGTACCGGATTAACGAGCATTTGGCCATTGTTTATGAGCACGGGCTAAGTCGTTCATATCTGCCCGAAACGCTTTGCGTAATAGTGGCTTTAGGCATTGCTCTATCTATAAATCGATACATTTGTGTAAAATCTCTTGTATGTATGTACCTTACCTGAATAAACATTTATTATTTGTCTATAACATTATAACTTCCTTGACTGGAGCGGGAGTGATTATGTGTGAGGTGGGCGTGGTGTGACCTCATGAACCATTACGTGTAGTGGAGCAAGGTCACTTCCTGCTCGTCTTGACATTGCCTCTGGTAAACACAGCGCCGCTTCTCTTCTTGCCTGTAACAAACTTTAAACGTAATTAGCGCCTGGTGTCCTTACTCTGCGGACTTGATGTCTTTGTAATTGAATAGTGATAATGTTGATGATTTGGTGCAATATGGACTCATGACAGCGGTGGAGGGAAGGCGTACATAGCGAGCGTTGGCAGGTGGAGTGGCAGTGTGGGTGGTGGCGTGGGGCAGCTGGCGGTGGAGGTGCTGTAGTGGCTGTGTGCTGGCTGGTGCGGGCAGTCCTCCCTGCTCGCTCCTCCCTGGCTCGACCCCCACGCACGCCTGGAGCCTACTCCACTCCACCAGCAGCACCTCCTGGAGCCTACTCCACACACTCCCTCCAAATCCGTCATGTGGAATTCACTTCGGACGAGGAAATTATTAATATTTCTCGATACAAAAAGATAAAATGTTGATTATCTAAACCTATAGTTAACGAGATTTCAAATAATAATTGTAAACATGCTACATATACGTTTATCTTAAGAATTTGCGAATTTCACTAGTTTATGCGGAAGGTGAATTACTTCCGGAAGTTGTCCCCGTGTTTTTACTAAAGAAAATCTTGCCCCAAGAGTTCAAAATAGTGGCGTGACGACCGGTGTTGGTATAGAGCTCTTACTGTGTGAACTTGACACTTACACATCAGTCTCCGGTTTCATGACTGAAGAATGAATACACACTGAAGGTGAGAGTACTATAGCGTGTTCTGTGAAGCCGGCGCCTCGCAGTATAGAGGTGCCATCACACGACGGCAACTATAGCCTCCTATTTAGAAGAATAGGATATAGTTGAGGTGGATTGGGCGTCCGGTGTCCGGACCAGAGAGAGCCGCCTGCAACACCTCCGATATGGACAGCACTGCGACTCTGTACCACGCCCTGCGAACTGGTAAGTTGGGAGAGATGGGCCATGGTTATACTGTAACTCTTATCGCCCAGTGTCGGTATCCTCGCATTTCAAATTATAAAAAAGTTACTCTATGCCACAAATGTTAGTTTGCTGTAGACCTGTTAAGTCCAGCCATTATTGTAATGGTTTGTACTGTGTAATTGTTGCGGTCCTGGCTCTCCATAACAGTAAACTGGCGAATCACACCGTAAGTCACTTAAGTTTACTGGTTAAGTGTGACTTCATTCTCGATTCACATTCGGAGATCAAAGGTTCGATTCCCGGGCGGGACAGAAGTTTCCTTTCTTCACACAGAAGCACGTTTCCTTTCACCTAATATCACTGTTCACCTAGTAGTCAATAGGTCCCCTGGGAGTGAGGCAACTGTTGTGGGGTGCATCCTGGGGGAAGATCAGCAGGTCGGCCTTGGGGGGGAGGGAGGCGGCCTAGATACAAACGAAGTATATACATACACAGGCTTCCTGTCCCCGACAGTGGGAATTTACCGTATATACCATAGTGTACACAGATGGTATTCGGAGTGTACACTATGAATACCATCACGTATATAATGTGTACTAAAGTACCAGTTAGACTAACATGAGTAATGTCAGGTAGGCCTTCAGTGCCAGGTACACATTATAGGCCTACATCCAGCTCGTGTCAAAGTTATACGAGCTATGGGTAGGCCTAAAGTGCAAGTTACTCATTGGATTTTGTTTTAATTTCATGAGAAATGGTTTATTAAACCTGGAGAAGATTAGTTTGAGGTCAGGGAGGTGGTTGTTGAAGACAGGAGAACCACTCACTGGGACACACCACACCAACTGGGGGGGGCCTGGTAGATATCTCGCAGGGCTCGTAATTCTGTGGCGCGGGTTCAATTCCCGCACGAGACAGAAACAAATGGGTAAAGTTTCTTTCACCCTGGATGCCCCTGTTACCTAGCAGTAAATAGGTACCTGGGAGTTAGTCAGCTGTCACGGGCTGCTTCCTGGGGTGTGGTGAGAAAAAAAGTAGTTAGTAAACAGTTGAGAGGCGGGCCGAAAGAGCAAAGCTCAACCCCCGCAAACACAACTAGGTGAATACACCCAGCCTCGGGGAGGGGCTGGGCGTCACGGGCGGGAAGGGGAAGGGGGGGGGTGTCACGGGCGGGAAGGGGAAGGGGGGGGGTGTCACGGGCGGGAAGGGGAAGGGGGGGTGTCACGGGCGGGAAGGGGGGGGGGGTGTCACAGGCGGGAAGGGGGCGGGGTGTCGCGGGGGGTGTCACAGGCGGGAAGGGGAAGGGGCCGGGGTGTCACGGGCGGGAAGGGGAAGGGGGGGGGGTGTCACAGGCGGGAAGGGAAGGGGGCGGCCGGGGTGTCACGGGCGGGAAGGGGAAGGGGGGGGTGTCACAGGCGGGAAGGGGAAGGGGGGGGGTGTCACAGGCGGGAAGGGGAAGGGGGCGGGGTGTCACGGGGGGGAAGGGGGCGGGTGTCACAGGCGGGAAGGGGAAGGGGGCGGGGTGTCACGGGGGGGGAAGGGGGGGGGTGTCACAGGCGGGAAGGGGAAGGGGGCGGGGTGTCACGGGGGGGAAGGGGGGGGTGTCACAAGCGGGAAGGGAAGGGGGCGGCCGGGGTGTCACGGGCGGAAGGGGGAAGAGGCTCCAGCTTGGAGTGCAAACATTACGGAGCAAATTTCATAGGTCACAGTTTTGACACAATTGACCAACAAAAATGCCGATGTTTTAGTCAAATCAAAAGCATGGAGATACGTACCCATAGTGGCAGTAAGGCGCACCACCACCACCACCACCTCGCCTGAGGACCACCTCAGGTGGTCCTCAGGCCAGCCCAACACCACCTCATATTTAACGTTCCTTAAACTAAGAATGTCCCGAAACTGGATGATTGATGATATACCTGACTATATGTATTGGATTAGATGTATTCAAAATTATCACATGTATACGATGATTTATGTATAAAAGTATACATACCTATTATCACTAATGTACATGTGTACGGCGCTTTGGGCGGGTTGAGGACAGCTTGAACTGAGATTCCTCCAGTGTTCTGCTCCAAAAAAAAAAAAAACTGAATTTCAGTGTGTGGTTCCCTATTAGAGACGTGGTGAATGTGCCTGTCGTGGCAAGAGCTCGGAGCCCAGGAGCTCAACCTCCTAAGTTGAGAGACTTGTTAGTAGGCTGTATATGTCCGTATGACGGTATGCTCTAGGATACATCAAACGTTCACGCAATCATTTACGAAACCTGTGTATCTTTTCAACAATCATAGCGGCTTTGTTTATATTTATTGAACAATTTAAGAGTTCCGTAGTACTACTAGATTGTTTATAACAACAATAACCTTGAGTTATAAAGCTTCCAGGCTCATAAACTGTTTAATTAAACAGTTTATGAGCCTGGAAGCTTTATACCCCAAGGTTATTGTTGTTATAAACAATCTAGTAGTACTACGGAACAATTAAATTGTTCAATAAATATAAACAAAGCCGCTATGATTGTTGAAAAGATGTACGGGTTTCGTAAGTGGAGACGTAAATGTTTCACGACTGATTATGGTCGTCAGGGCACCCATAGAGTACACACTCCTCAACGTCAGTATTTTCCAATTTAAGACAAATTACAGGTTCGTTACCAGCCCTCGTGCTGGTAACGGTTTTAACGGCCTGGTAACGTCTCAGAGACTTGCATGACAACTGTCACCTGACTTACTTTCCTGTTAATGGCAACAACCCGGGCTTTAGTTCGGATAGTCGCATCTGCTGGCAGGTGGCCATGCCGTCCACTCTCATGCTCTGCCACTCCGTAAAAAATCCAACGTGTTAAGCAGAAGCGGACGAACCCAAGTAACCCACCCAATATGTCGAGTCCTATTCGTTGAAAACTTGAATATGTGAGCCAATGCTCGAAAGGTTGTATTTGTAATGTAATGACGGAAGCCGTTATCACTCGTCCTTGTAATAACCAGGGAGCCGTATTGTAATATATTAACATTCCCTCCCAAATAATTACTCACGATGGACAGAGCTCTGCGTAGACTACTTGAGGGAGTAGAGATAGAGATATATAGATAGATGGATAGATAGATCGATAGAGAGAGATTAGCTGCTACGATCTTCCTATGACTTACCACATAAGAAATAACGCTGCCACCACCCTGAGTTTTCCGGAGGGAGAGAACCGTAGGACTTGAATATTTATAATGTCCTCCCGGGACAGGTGTAAGGAACACATGAATAGTAAAAGAATCCTGACCTGTCATTCTTGACTGGTGGGGGGGCGGGGAGGTACTATAGAATAAAGGAGAGCAAGGCTGGACACTCGTGTACTAGTACTGACACACTATAACAAGGGACTGACGGTGGAGGAGTACTGGGTAGTCACTAGGGGATCACAAGGTGAAAGTCCAGTATCACTTAGATAGGTTCCTTTAATACACTCGGGAATGACACTTTGAAAATAGGACTTTAACACAAAAAAGACAATTCATATATTCCCTACCAGAGGCCAAGGTAATGGAACAACAAGGGACAAGGGCGCCATACTTACTATACCAGTTGTTCCACGTGACCTGGAGGCGATGTTCTTCCCGGAGCCACAACAACAACACTACTTCTCCCCTGTTCTCCTGGACGTGACCTGACCTCCAGTTGGACGAGACGTGAGGTCTTCGGCTTACTTTTGAGGGATTAGCGTGGCGGCATCGTGTTAGACAACCTCGTGACCACGCAACCCGTTCTCGCACTTTCGTATAGTCAATATTGACTTATTAAATACGTGCATATGTGACATACTAATTTGTGAATATTTTAGTTTACCGTGAAAAGCGTCATAGAAAACACAGACCTTACCTAACCTTAGTATGTTAAGATAAGCATCTTATTGCTTCGTAATTACAATTATTACTTAACCTATACCTATAATAGGTTAAGTAATAATTGTAATTACGAAGCAATAAGATGCTTATCTCAACATACTAAGAAGGTTAGGTAAGGTCGGTGTTTTCTATGAAGCTTTTAAAGGTAAACTAAAATATTCACAATAAATTAGTATGTCACATATGCATTTTCTTAGTCAATATTGACTTTTAAATAAGTGCGAGAACGGGTTGACCACACCACCGTTGACCCGAGTTGACCTGTCCCCTGGTTACCCTCTCTGAGGTGTGAATTTTCTATTGTCTTTGCGCCGTCTGTCTGGGGCCGCGCCCCTGTGGCTGTTCTGCTGTTACTGTTCAACTATGTTGTTCTACAATGTACTGCTGTTACAATAACGTTGGTTACCCAAACGTTAAAAACACGACCTATTACTCATCATCTAGTTGTGTTTGCGGGGGTTGAGCTCTGGCTCTTTGGTCCCGCCTCTCAATCGTCAATCGACTGATGTACAGATTCCTGAGCCTACTGGGCTCTATCATATCTACATTTGAAACTGTGTATGGAGTCAGCCTCCACCACATCACTTCCTAATGCAATCCATTTACTAATTACTCTGACACTGAAAAAGTTCTTTCTAATGTCTCTGTGGCTCATTTGGGTACTCGGCTTCCACCTGTGTCACCTTACGTGAGAGGACGGGGTTGCTGATGATTTTACTGTGGCAAGTATCTTCCTGGGTGGGCAGGTGGGCACTCTGAGTACTGGTGCCCAAGGGGTGCGGTGCCCGGCTGCACTCGACAGGCAGAGCTAGTGAAGGTGGGGTTATCTATGTTTTTTTTCACCTGTGGCGGCGCCTGACATCTGTGGCGGGCACAGTTAGGTGTCCTTGGGGGCCGGTGTCGCCGCTCCCTCCCCTAACATTTACTCCATAAAGTTCATTGATCACGACTCCGTTATCAGTTTCCCCTGAGGTGGGGGCTTACCCCGACCCGCCACCTGTGTGTATGGGGGCGGGGTGGCCCCCTCCCCCCCTCCCTACCCACCACTTGCGCACGTCATCCTCTCCTCGGAACCCGGGCCAGGATTTATAAAAAAATTACGCAACCACTTACGAAGCC